TGTCCTTGACCATAGAAACCAATTAGGTTAAGTTAAGTACTGCTGATGTGGTCTTGCCAGTGAAGGGAAGCAGAGTATCCAATAAAAAAATTAGCTAGCTTGTAGGTAGGAGAGTTGATCGTGGACACAATGGGCCGCAGTGGGGTACCTTGTTTATGGATCTTGGGAAGATCCTTGTTGGTTTTTCTCGTTAGGCTGTTAGTAGGATCACTTTGAATTTTGGTGTAACTATCATCAGTGAGTAGGTCCTGGATTTTGTTGTTGTATGAGTTTTTATCCATGATAACAGTAGCATTGCCTTTGTCGGCCGTGAGGATGACTATATCATCCCTCTTTTTCAAATTCGCAAGTTCAGAGCGTTCGTTTTGGCTAATGTTGGTAATGGGTTTCTTAGCATTCTTAAGAATAGTGGCTATTTCAGTTCTCGCAACGTTCGCTTGGATGTGTCCTATGCCTTTGAGGGCTAAATCGACCTGAGAGATGACATCCTCTACTGGTATATGTTTAGGGGTGACAGCGAAATTTAGCCAGTACCGTTTTCAGATTGTCCGAAATCGGGATGTTACTCTGATTAATACCGTTCTTGTTAACATCCAGCTTTGTGATGTGTGGTTCTGGCTTCTTCTTTGATAGGAGGTTGAATGTAGCGACCAAGTTAGCTTTGCATTTGGCTGACAGTGAATCAGCAGAGGCAGCAGTCATGTTGTCAACATGGTTACAATCAGAAAGGGACGTTTTTTGTGTTAACATTAAATGTGATTGTAAGAGAATATTGTCTAAACTGTCGAGTTCAAATCGGAGTAATCTTATTCTCTCTGAGATTAGTGATAGGCTAGCTTCAAACAAAATCCGTTTAGAGTTCGGTGAAGATACAGCAGCAGATGTGAGTGTGAAAGCGATGGCTATTACCTTGTTATCGCGGTATTTCTTGAGGAAGGTTAGCATCTCGATGAGCTGTGACTTCTTGTCTCGTTGTCTGTTAAAAACTCCAACAGATAAGTGAAATTCCTCCCCGTAGAGGGCATTAATTCTAGATTTGAAGCTTTCGTGACTGCAAGGATTCATACTCTTTGTTTTTTTCGGTAAAGTCACGTAGGTAAAAAATAAAATAAAAATAAATGAAGACAACTAAATTAAATCACGATGTTTCGGAGGCAACACAAGCGTCCTTCATCAGGTGTAACAAAAAAATCCGTGATCTGATCCTATCCGTAAAGGATGTCATTCCTGACTTACAGTACCCCGGTGTTTACAAATTGAGTTGTACCTGCGGTGACTGCTATATCAGGGAGAAGAAACGACATATCTCTGACCAAATTCGGGAGCACAAATCAGATTTGAAACACGGCAGAACGAATTCTTCTGCCGTAGCTGATCAATGCTACAACGCTGTGGGTTATCATGATACTGTTTTCTCCAATACCAAGGTACTCTGCAAGCCGTCTGGATACCACCAAAGATTTGTCCATGAAGCCATACAGGTATACAAACATAGACATAACTTCAACCGAGAAGATGGATTTAAATTGAGCAATCATTGGAAAGATGTGATTGACCATGTTGAACCTCACCTGCTACTCTCCCCCGCTCCGCGTCCCCCCCCCCCCATCCGTGGCTCCGATGTTTTCTAGGACGAGCTTCACCCTCCTGGCTCCTCCCACAACCCCCTCCCATGCTGCGCCCATCCTCCCTGGCTCCTCCCCCTCCTCTTACCCTATATAACACTCTATCATCACAAATAGCTCTCTCTACAGTTATTTTGCTGTGCCTTTTTTTACACATGATGAAGGAAGCTTGTGTTGCCTCCGAAACGTCGTGATTTAATTTAGTTGTTTTCATTTATTTTTATTTAGTTTTTTTTACCTACGTGACTTTACCGAAAAAAACAAAAAGTACTTCCGGTTTAGTTTGAAGGCATCCGTGGGGGGGGAGCACACGATGGGACTTAGCCCTGGGGCCTCCCCTCCCCTAGGGACCTCCCTGTGTGCTGCCACACTGCTGCGACACGTGGTGCTGGACACACGGCCGTCATCAACTAACACGGCGGTCACTAACGCGATCTGAAACACGCGAAAGGATTCGGCTCACGCAGTGTTCAGCAAAGGTCGTTAGGTGACCCACGAGGTAACGTCCACGGGTCATACGGCCGGCAACACGCCACGCCTCAGCACTCCGCACCCCCAACGAACTCCCGTCTCCTCTCTCGACTCCCCTCTTGTATTCCCTGGGCCACGTGCCTAGAGCGTCGTCTCAGGCGATGACTCGCTGAGCAAGCATCTCTTGAGTCGAATGCCAATTGATATCTCCCCAGCGCTTTGCCTCGGGCGCCAAGTGTCCTCATTATTTGCCGGTCACTCATTGTCAGGGGCTTTGTCCCAGAAGACGACTCGCTGGCCAAGCATATCTAAGTCCCGTAAATAATCTCTGCCCAGGGCTTTTCCCCAGATGATGTGTTCCTGGCCGGGCGCCGCCGAGTCTCCAACGTACGTGCAGAATAACAACGTGGAGAGAGAGACACGCAGCAGGCTCAAGGAAAGAGGAACACGTGGATTAGAGTACAACACGCAGCAGGCTCAAGTAAAGAGGAACACGTGGACTAGAGAACAACACGCAGCAGGCTCAAGTAAAGAGGAACACGTGGATTAGAGTACAACACGCAGCAGGCTCAAGTAAAGAGGAACACGTGGACTAGAGAACAACACGCAGCAGGCCCAAGGAAAGAGGAACACGTGGACTAGAGAACAACACACAGCAGGCTCAAGGAAAGAGGAACACGTGGACTAGAGAACAACACGGAACAGGCTCAAGGAAAGAGGATCACGTGGACTAGAGAACAACACGCAGCAGGCTCAAGGAAAGAGGATCACGTGGACTAGAGAACAACACGCAGCAGGCCCAAGTAAAGAGGAACACGTGGACTAGAGAACAACACGCAACAGGCTCAAGGAAAGAGGATCACGTGGACTAGAGAACAACACGCAACAGGCTCAAGGAAAGAGGATCACGTGGACTATAGAACAACACGCAGCAGGCCCAAGTAAAGAGGAACACGTGGACTAGAGAACAACACGCAACAGGCTCAAGGAAAGAGGAACACGTGAACTAGAGAACAACACACAGCAGGCCCAAGGAAAGAGGATCACGTGGACTAGAGAACAACACGCAGCAGGCTCAAGGAAAGAGGAACACGTGGACTAGAGAACAACACGCAGCAGGCTCAAGGAAAGAGGAACACGTGGACTAGAGAACAACACGCAGCAGGCTCAAGAACAGCGGTCGCGGTGTCAGAGGCAGTGAGCAAGCGTGGCTTGGGCAGGACGCGACACGGCCAGAAGGGATGGACGATGCCCCGGGGTCAAGGCTGGTGACGGAGTGGCAGCCAAGGAATGGAACGCGTTCCGAGAGGCTTGTCCACCGAGGAGATGGAGCCATGAAACCAAGTTCACGTGCGGACGCTAGGAGGATTATTAACATGGCATGGTCGTGATAGGTGGCGGGGGATTGCGGGAGGGCTTCATCCAGCAGTGGATTTACCAGGGCTCATTATTTATTCATGCCTGGTGGGGTAACCTTTAACTTTTTACATCGGCTTGTGTCCTAACCTGCATGTTTTACGTGGTACATAACTCTCACGCCTCACCCGCTCCGTGCCAACACACTCGCTTCCTCGTTGATGTCGACATCAAAGCGACGCTCATAAACAAACTGGCATGCCAATGCAGTGCCTGAGGCTAGGGTACAGCCCTGAAATTCCTTGCAAACGCCACTGTTGGCGGAAGGGGCTTCAACTAGCCCCCTGCCACTAAGTGGCGGTGACGTCACCACGGCGCTTGTGCCAGGCTATGTGCACCTTGAGGCCACGTGAAGTGTCGAACGCCCGCCGGCAGGAGGTCACGGGGCAGCCCCAGCCGGTTGCCATAGGTTGACCGACACAGATGACTGGCCGATGCACCACCTGTGCCCCCTACTGTGCTACAAGGACACACGCGCGCACCACCTCGATTTCATCGCTGCGTCTCTACGGCGGTGGGGTTCTCTCATTGGGGGGGGGGAGGGGGGCAAATCCCGACTTTGGCTGCCTGTCCGTCGCTCGCCTCGAGCACGCGCCCCGGCCAAGCCCACTTATCTCTCCCTCGGATCCGCGCGTCGTCCCCCTCTCTCAGTAACTCCTGTGTGCGTGTGTGTGCACGTGTGTGTTGAGCTTCTTTCGCACCGTGCGCAAACCCACCCGTGCCAATCGCAGCGTGAGTCTCCCGTGGAATGCACACGACCCCCCAACGCGAATGCAGAAGGACGTCTCCTCTGGCAAGCTACCCCGGTCCAGGCTGCGCCGTCCCCATCCGGCCCCCGCGAGTTTAAAACTCCACAACTTGCTGTGAACACGACGGCTGGCTACGTGCAGTGCTAAAGAAGGTCAACAGACAATGCGTACAGCAGGCCCGAGTAGGACATCCACCGTGGAGATGGAGCGACCAGATCGCGCTTGACGTGCAGGAGGAACGAGACGGATGTCTCTCTCTCTCTGCATTGCAGCACGGGGACGGACGGCGATGGCAAGGGGAGATACCCATCCAGCAGTGGATCGATCGTGGCTCACGATTTCGGTGATTGATTAAATCGGCTCGTGTGCCCGTGCTGGGTGAGGATTTCTTCTTAGACGGCAGGGCAGTGGAGGGCGTGGGCACTGCCGACAGCTTGGGGAGGCCTTCATCCAGCAGTGGATTGGCCACGGCTGGTGACGACTAATTATTGATGAAGAGATCAGATCAGACCGCCTCCTGATCAGTGACCGCGTGGCATGCTGAGTGCTCGGGGGAAGCATCCACCCAGCAGTGGAATGAGCATGGCAGCTGCGAGCTGATGCGATTCTTTAACTTGACAGATCGAGTCGCGGAGGGGTCAAGGTGGTGGGGCTGGTGGGGAGGAGAGGGGCTCCATTGAGGGGGGGGGAGATGGAGTGGGGGGAGGAGGGAGGGGCGGAGCGGTCAATGTAAGAGCGACGCAGCCACAAGTTTATAAGGCGGGGAGGGGAGAGAGAAGCGAGTCGGACACTTTGGGGCGTCGTAGTCACCAGGGCGACGTCCGTGCAAGAATCCGTCTCGGATCTCGTCTCGGATCTCGTAAGTGGTGAACTTTCCCTCACCGTCCGTGCGGCGGCGGCGGCGTTCTCATCCCTCCCCCGCGGTGTATCGCGATTTCGGACGCGCTTCTGCGGCCGTCTGGAACGCGCTCTTCCTTCCGATACTAGGAAGCGAATTTTCAATCGGCTACATTGAAACCCCCGTTTCTTTAGAGCTGCTTCGTGTTGTTGTTGTTGTGTTTAGTGTTGTTGTCCTTCCCACGCACCTCCGATGAGCGTGGTTGGCGAGGTACGGTGCGAAAGAAGTTCAACACACACACACAGCAGCGCGCTTGCAACCCATAGGGCGCCAGTTGGATTCCATCTCTTCCGACGCGGCAGTTCAAACAATCGTGCAAGTTTCTTAAATACTATCTTGTACCCCTTAAATACTATCATGTACCCCTTAAATACTATCATGTACCCCTTAAATACTATCATGTATCCCTTAAATACTATCATGTACCCCTTAAATACTATCACGTACCCCTTAAATACTATCTTGTACCCCTTAAATACTATCATGTACCCCTTAAATACTATCTTGTACCCCTTAAATACTATCATGTACCCCTTAAATACTATCTTGTACCCCTTAAATACTATCATGTACCCCTTAAATACTATCTTGTACCCCTTAAATACTATAATGTACCCCTTAAATACTATCTTGTACCCCTTAAATACTATCATGTACCCCTTAAATACTATCTTGTACCCCTTAAATACTATCATGTACCCCTTAAATACTATCTTGTACCCCTTAAATACTATAATGTACCCCTTAAATACTATCTTGTACCCCTTAAATACTATCATGTACCCCTTAAATACTATCTTGTACCCCTTAAATACTATCATGTACCCCTTAAATACTATCTTGTACCCCTTAAATACTATCATGTACCCCTTAAATACTATCTTGTACCCCTTAAATACTATCATGTACCCCTTAAATACTATCATGTACCCCTTAAATACTATCATGTACCCCTTAAATACTATCATGTACCCCTTAAATACTATCTTGTACCCCTTAAATACTATCATGTACCCCTTAAATACTATCATGTACCCCTTAAATACTATCATGTATCCCTTAAATACTATCATGTACCCCTTAAATACTATCATGTACCCCTTAAATACTATCACGTATCCCTTAAATACTATCATGTACCCCTTAAATACTATCTTGTACCCCTTAAATACTATCATGTACCCCTTAAATACTATCATGTACCGCTTAAATACTATCTTGTACCCCTTAAATACTATCATGTACCCCTTAAATACTATCATGTATCCCTTAAAAACTATCACGTATCCCTTAATACTATCTTGTACCCCTTAAATACTATCACGTATCCCTTAAAAACTATCACGTATCACTTAAACACTATCACGTATCCCTTAAACACTATCACGTATCCCTTAAACACTATCATGTATCCCTTAATACTATCACGTATCCCTTAAATACTATCACGTATCTCTTAAATACTATCACGTACCCCTCCCCCCACCCGCACATTCGCCTCTATCCACCCAGCGATATAAATCGGTAACCAACTTGTGTGGTGGAGTGAAGTGTGGGTAACTCCCACCTCTTCCAAAACGCCTATCCAGCATGTAAGAGTAGGCCAAATACCCTCTGTGTGGTGTGGTGGTGGCGGGGGAGCTTTGTACCAGCAGCGGGGTGAGCGAGACATTGCAGGGCTGCACCTTGACCCGTGCCCCAGTGGCAGCGATGTTAACACGGCTCTCAGTCTTCACTTTGTGTAGCACGTGGGTGTCCGACTTCGGTGCACGCCAGAGGTGACTTGAAGGGCCCTTCGTGGTAGTTCTGTGATATCCGCTTCCCGCGGACCGTCTCTAACACGGACCGATGCGCTGCTCTCGAATCGGTTCATCGTTGAATGACAACGCAACGCCAAATGAGGATTACATTGGCAGGGGGAGCAGGGCAGGGAGGATGCTCTGTTTGGTAAATGTGGCTGTCAACCTTTCTTTGCCGGTCACTCTCTGCTCCGAAGTTAAGGGTCATTTGCCCAAAAAGGTCGGCCTTATCGCGTGCATTTCTTGTTTTTGTAAGGTCACAGGTAAAGTCGAGAACGACTGTGTATCTATATAAAGTGGGTTTTGGCTGGTATCTTCGACTGTTGTACTACCATCCAGTGAGCTTGCTTCCACTTGGACACACGCACAAAAGTATTGCTCAGATTACAAAAAGACCGATAGCCGGACTGAATGGATGGTAAATATTGAACTTTGGTGGCTTTTGAGCTGTGTTTGTTTTTTGGATTTTGCGTTGGACCTGAGATTGCTCATCCCCTGCTTACTAGCCAGACGGATCGTGCAGGCAACAGGAGTCGAAGGTCAAGATACTGTAGTCACTAACATGCACATAGACAAAGATCCCCCGTGTAGCCTTTCAACAGACTGTTGGGGCAAGTGCTGTTCGTGAGCACCTTGGAAGAAGGCCGGCACGGCACATGAGCGTGTGGGTGACCAGCACCATGCCCGGCTGTCTTTGCCTCCCCGAGTGGCGATGTTTTCACATCGCACCAGGTACCCATTTGAGGCTGAGTAGACCTCGGGGAGGCACAGGATCAGTTCAGATAATCGTCACTGGTGTTGGCCGTGAGCGGGAATCGAACTCGGGACACTGGGGTTTCACCGCAGTGCGCTAAGCTCTACGCGTCTGCTACATGCCAATGCACACGCATAAATAGCCTCATACATACATATACACCATACATAAATACACCAATGTACATTCGTGCAGTTGCAATTAGTAGCAATACCAGTCCAAATTGTATTGCCTAGTATAGTCGCAATGTCTTCCTGAGTGTTCGACAACAGCAGCGCATGCAGAATACAGCCAAATAATCACCGCCTCTGGATTATCACCATCACACGTGCACCACTGCGCCATCTTCTGGCCACCACCTCGCACTTGTACGTACGTTGAACTTCTTTCGCACCGTACGTAGCCAACCGCATCGAATCGGAAGGTGCGGACGTTCGGAGGTGCGGAAATCGGAGGTGTCACAAATCTGCACTGGCGCGATCCAACAACCCTCGCCTCCAAATCGCGGGGATCGCAGTCACACGCCGGTCTCACTCCACGTCCCGTGTCTCGTCCCGTGCCCCCCCCACCACCACCACCACCACCTTATTCTCTTCCCCATGCTCCGACCCCTCCCCCCCCAGACACCCCCCTCCGACCTAAAGCCATGGTGCTACATGCGGGGTTCAAGGGCGCGGGCCAGGTGGAGGGGCTGCAGGTGTGGAGGGTGGAGAAGCTGAGTCCCGTGGCAGTGGCGCGCAACCAGTACGGCAACTTCTTCACGGGGGACGCCTACGTGGTGCTCAAGACGTTCTCCTTCGGCCCTGCGGTCAAACGATACGAGCTGCACTTCTGGCTCGGTGAGCCGTACACTGGGCTCGAGGCCGCTCGCCCGCCGAATTTGCTCAACCCACTCAATCGCTCGATCAATTGCTAACTCAATCGGCAGTTCAACCGCTCAACCATCGACTCGTCCATCGACTCGCTCAATTAAATATCCACCCCACCCCCACCCCACCCCCACCCCTTCCTCCCTCGTGTCTCTTCCGCGCCATAGGTAGCGAGTCCGGCGCTGCTGCCTTGCTCACATCATGTCTCCGTGTCCCCGTGTCCCCGCGTGTCCCCGCCGCAGGTAGCGAGTGCTCTCAGGACGAGTCCGGCGCTGCTGCCCTGCTCGCCGTGCAGCTGGACGACTCCCTGGGGGGGCGGCCCGTGCAATACCGCGAGGTGCAGGGACACGAGTCCAACTCGTTCCTCTCCTACTTCAAGGGCGGCATCAAGTACAAGGTGCGGCGCGCTCGCGTGAACCGCCCGGTGCCGCTGCGTAACAACGGAGCGGCGAGCTCCCTACTCGAATGCCGGGTCAGAGGATGAGACTCTGCAGGACCTCGTCATTTCGTCGTCGTCATCGTCGTCGTCGTTGTTGCTGTCGTGCAGGCGGGCGGCGTGGCCTCGGGCTTCAAGCACGTGGAGCCCAACCTGGCGGACGTGAAGCGGCTGCTGCACGTGAAGGGGCGACGCACGGTGCGCGCCACCGAGGTGCCGTTCTCCTGGGCGAGCTTCAACCGGGGGGACTGCTTCATCGTCGACCTGGGGGCGGTGAGGATGGGCGGGCACTGGCCGCTAGCACTGCGGCGTTGTGTGTCGTGACGCCTCCGGCCAGCTGGTTACCCTCTTGGCTTGCTCGCATCTGGTGGCGCCGCGGTGGCTAGGAGATGTTAACTCCCTCGCCTGGTGTGCAGGAGGTCGTGGGTTTGATCCCAACCCTGACGCCTGCTGTATATTTAGAGTTTGCGTGTTCTCCCTGTGGTCGCTGTGATTTATCTCCAGGTCTTCCGGTTTTCCCCTCCACATTTAGACTCAACGTCACGCATTTGGAGTATTTGGCCGCTATAAAAGTCCACGTGATGATAGCACACTTCCTTGAGCTATTTTTTGTGACCGAGTCGCTTCTGTAAAAGAGCTACATAACTTAGTGGGCCTTACTTGGTCAAATATAAATAGGCGATAGTTTAGCATCCACCCCAGTGGCGGACAGGATGCGCTGGACGGTTGCGAGCGGCTGGTTATCCGTCCAAACTACGAAAAAACGAAAGATAAAAAACACCAAAATAAGCTTGCGCCGGAAGTCCCAATCAGCAAGCACGTGATGTCCCCTGGCCATGCGCCGTATGGGAGGGCCAGGGCACTCGGGGATCCTCCAGACCCTCCAGGCACAACGCGCAGTCACTGTGGCCACACACGCGGAAAGTCCCCATGCCCACAGGGGAGGAGGGGCTGCCGCCATGCCTCTGCACCTCTCCGGGACAGAGGACGTTTACTCGCCAGTTTGGGTTTGCGACGCACCTGCTTCAGCAGTTGAACCGTGTTGGTCCGCGGGTGCTCCCTGCAGAACATCTACCAGTGGTGCGGCTCGGGCTGCAACCGCTACGAGCGCGTCAAGGCGTCCGAGGTGGCGCGCGGCGTGCGGGACAACGAGCGGGGCGGGCGGGCGACGGTGCACGTGGTGGAGGAGGGCGGGGAGCCCGCACAGCTGCGTAACGTGAGCCGGGGGGCGGGGGGGCATCGTCGTCGACGTCATCGGCTACATCATCATCATAGCCATCGTCATCATCGTCATCGTCGTCGTCATCATAGCCATCGTCATCATCATCATTGTCGTCATAATCATCGTCGTCATCATAGCCATCATCATCGTGATCATCCTAGTCATCACCATCGTCGTCATCGTCATTTTCGGAGTCGTTTTCAGTCATCGTTTTCATTATTAAAAGCAGTGGCAGCAACTCGACTAAAATCTTCACCATCATACATTTGGCTCTGTCGTAATGGCCTAAACTAGAAAATCATAAGCAATAAAATTACGATCGCCACCACCACCACCATCGTCATCATTATCACTACCACCATCGTCATTCATTCTAAACAGCAGCAGCACCACATCTTCCTATCAATATCATCATCATCAGCACCATGATCGTTATGACCTTCGTGTTACTGACCTATCAAACCTGACTCTTCGCACCCTTCCAGGTGCTGGGCCCCAAGCCTGAACTTCCACCCGGGACCCCTGATGATGTGGAAATGGATATCTCGAACCGGAAATCAGCCAAGCTTTACAAGGTTACAAACAAGGACCATACAACGATGATTATAACACATTATTTAAGAGATTCCTTACTTTCTTCGAGGTACACAAGATATTGTACAAATCCAAAAATAATGTGCATAGGCCACGGAGAGGAAAAACTAAGAAGCCATAGAGAAGTCAATTCGGAGCCCCTTAAAATGGCCGCCTGACACTCGAAGGTGGGAAAACCCCAATAACTCACAGCCAGCGTGAGGTGGCTGATAGTGCCAATGGCTCGGTTGAGTAATAGATTACCTATAGCTCAACTCCACATTGAACTATGCTGCTACTGATGACAATGGTCGTTGCAATGAATATATGGAGAAGATGATGATATTATTATATTAGTTGTGAATTATGATGATGATGATGATGATAATAATGGTGGTGGTAATAATGATGGACGGATGAAGATTTTGATTGGGGTAATGAAGATTATGATCATCATCATTGTGGAGGGATGAGGATGATGGTGGTTGTGGACGACGATGATGTTTGTGGTAATAGAGATGATGATGGTGATGATGATGATGGAGGGATGAGGATTATGATTGAGTAATAAAGATTATGATGATGATCATTGTGGAGGGACGCGGATGATGGTAGTTGTGGACGTCGTTGATGGCCGCAGATCTCCGACGAGAGCGGCCGCATGGAGGTGAAGGAGGTGGCGGCCGCGAGTCCCTTCCAGCAGTCGCTGCTCGACTCGAGAGACTGCTTCCTGCTCGACAACGGCTCTGCGGGGCAGATCTTCGTGTGGAAGGGTGAGGCCTAGGGCGAGGGTTAGGGTGAGGGCGGACTCATCACAATTATCATCTCAACACTCCACCAACCCACCATCCCATCACTATCGTCCCATTGCACCATCATCCCATCATCCAATTGCCACAAAGTCGCATAACACCATCAGCTTATCACCCCACCATCCCATTATCATTCACACAGCCAAAGTTCCCAGCCGTGAGGGGTCCCGCTATAGTTTGTGGGGGAAGGGGGGGGGGGGCAGAACAAGCTGCTAATTAATTTCCAAACTCAGTGAAATGGTTAACAAGTTGGTGAAGTGCTGAAGTTGTGAAGTGGTTAAGTGGTGAAGTGGGTAAGTGATGTCGCTGCAGGCAAGAGAGCCAACTCGAACGAGAGGCAGAAAGCGATGATGACCGCTGAGGAGTTCATCAAGAAGATGAGCTACTCGCCCAGCACAAAGGTGACGCAGAGACACCAACAACAACTCCCCAGCTGTCCTCTCACTCTGCACGCTGCGCCTTCGGGAAGGGGAATCTTGAGTTTTGCAGATGTTTGCATAAATTGCTCTTCCTTGCACTACTTTTAGTTCTCGTGTTTATGAGCCGAGTAATCAAACTCGCTCGAGTGGCGCTGCAGAGTCACTGGGGTGGAGCGGTGGCACCGTGGTTGTCGCACTGCGCTGCGAACTGAGTGACACGAGTTCGATTTCCCGGCCACGGATGACCTCAGTGGCAAGTGTTATCCAAATCGGTTTGGGCCAATTCCGCTTCACCAACCCCCACCTACCCCTACCAATACCCAAACCCCTATCACTACCCCAACCCTTACCACTACCACTACCCCTACCACTACCCCAACCCCTACCACTACCCCAACCCCTACCACTACCCCAACCCCTATCACTACCGCAACCCCACATACGCAGACCAGCCGTGCGTAGCGAGTAGAGAAGCGCCCCCTCTCTCTGTTGCTGCTCCTCCCGTGTCTCTCCCCAGGTGTCGGTGCTGCCCGAGACAGGGGAGACGCCGCTCTTCAAGCAGTTCTTCCTGAGCTGGAGGACCAAGGACGACGTCGTGACGCCCGGCAAGACGTACACCGTGGGCAGTGTCGCCCGCGTCCAGCAGGTGCCCTTCAACGCCTCCACCCTGCACTCCAACCCGGCCATGGCCGCTCAGCACGGCATGGTGGACGACGGCAAGGGAGAGGTTCAGGTGAGCAGGGGGTGGGGGGAGGAGGGCGGGGAGGGGCGTACGTACCTTGAACTTCTTTCGCACCGTACGTAGCCAATCGCGCTAATCGGAGGTGCGGGGAGCGAAGGACAGCGAGGCGTGATGGAGAGTGGGCATGGTAATGGGGTTTGAGAGGGATCTTTGAATGCACGCTCGCACGATCGTGGCCACCTAGGCACTCGCTCACCAACTCTTACTTACCAACTCGGTCGCCAACTCGCTCACCAACTCACTCGTTCATCCACCCACCTACTGGATCATGCGTGCACCAAACCCACCCACCCACTCGCTCACTCATCCCTCGACTCGCATGGGACGACATGAGCGAGAGAGAGGCGTGCTGGGAAATTAGACAAAGGCGAGGTTCAGGTGAGGTAGAATGAACGTGTGAGTGAGCGGTGATTATGAGTTACTTCACTGTCAATGCCCATCGCGTAACGCGTCACTTATCAGGAACGCATCTGCCGCGTTAAACGAGGACTGCCTGTGTGTGGTCACCTTGCCCTGAGCCGGAGCTGAAGCACCGCTCGTTGCAAGGACCCGGAACGACACCGCTGTGCCGCTCGCGGCTCACCTCGTCCACAAACGCGATTTATATTTTATATATTATTTATATTTTATATATTTATACTTTACATATTTATACTTTACAACTCTGAGAATCCCCGAGGTGCCTACGTCTGGCCTCAATGAGCCTCGCGCATTCACACACCGATTGGTGTTTTTTTGTTATTACGCCAATCTGCCACAGCCCAAGGGATATTGCCAACATGGTCCCAGCGGTGCCTGTGTCGTGCAGTCTCACCGCCTGCACACCCAACAGCTACCTCCTGCACCACCCCACAGCTACTGCCTGCACCACCTCATAGCTACCTCCTGCACCACCTCATAGCTACCGCCTGCACCACCCCACAGCTACCGCCTGCACCACCTCATAGCTACCTCCTACACCACCTCATAGCTACCTCCTGCACCACCCCACAGCTACCACCTGTACCACCCCACAGCTACCACCTGCACATCCCCACAGCTACCTCCTGCACCACCCCACAGCTACCGCTTGCACCACCCCACAGCTACCTCCTCCACCACCCCACAGCTACCTCCTCCACCACCCCACAGCTACCTCCTGCACCACCCCACAGCTACCTCCTCCACCACCCCACAACTACCTCCTCCACCACCCCACAGCTACCTCCTCCACCACCCCACAGCTACCGCTTGCGCCACCCCACAGCTACCTCCTCCACCACCCCACAGCTACCTCCTGCACACCACACAGCTACCTCCTGCACACCACACAGCTAGCTCCTGCACCACCGCACAGCTACCTCCTCCACCACCCCACAGCTACCTCCTGCACCACCCCACAGCTACCGCCTGAACCACCTCATAGCTACCTCCTGCATATCCCACAGCTACCACCTGCACCACCCCACAGCTACCTCCTGCACCACCCCACAGCTACCGCCTGCACCACCCCACAGCTACCTCTTGTACCACCCCACAGTTACCTCCTGCACCACCCCACAGCTACCTCCTGCACCACCCCACAGCTACCGCCTGCACCACCCCACAGCTACCTCCTGCACCACCCCACAGCTACCTCCTGCACCACCCCACAGCTACCGCCTGCACCACCCCACAGCTACCTCCTGCACCACCCCACAGCTACCTCTTGTACCACCCCACAGTTACCTCCTGCACCACCCCACAGCTACCTCCTGCACCACCCCACAGCTACCGCCTGCACCACCCCACAGCTACCACCTGCACCACCCCACAGCTACCTCCTGCACCACCCCCAGGTGTGGCGCGTGGAGAGCTGTGGCCGGGTGAGCGTGGACCGCGCCAGCTACGGGCAGTTCTTCGGTGGCGACTCGTACATCATCCTCTACACGTGGTGCAGGGGACAGATCCTCTACACCTGGTGGGGGGCACGCGTCGGGACACGGGGGTGGAAGGGCTGGGGTGAGGGGAGGGGGGTGAGACACGGGACGTTGGGTGGCTGTGATCCCAGCGATGTGGAGGCAAGAGTTGGTGCATCGCACCGGTGGAGATTTGTGAAACTCCCAAAACCGCTGAAGGGCACCTCCGACTGGCTACATGCGGTGCGAAGGAAGTGTAACGTCAACGAACACACCAACACAAGAAGGGATATCTATGCCTTAGCGCCCCGCCGCTATAGGCAATCACGGGCACGAATACAATAGGAGCCAGCCCCTAGCTTGTACATGCGTGTGTGTGGTGTGTGTGGTGTGTGTGGTGTGGTGTGTATGTGAGTGGTGTGTGTGGTGTGTTTGTGTGGTGTGTGTGTGGTGTGTGTGTGTGGTGTGTGTGTGGTGTGTTTGTGTGGTGTGTGTGGTGTGTGTGGCGTGTGTGTGTGTGAGTGGTGTGTGTGTGTGCGTGTGGTGTGTGTGTGTGGTGTGTTTGTGTGGTGTGTGTGTGAGTGGTGTGTGTGTGGTGTGTGTGTGGTGTGTGTGAGTGGTGTGTGTGTGGTGTGTGTGTGTGGTGTGTGTGATTGGTGTGTGTGAGTGGTGTGTGTGGTGTGTGTGTGTGGTGTGTGTGAGTGGTGTGTGTGTGTGGTGTGTGTGAGTGGTGTGTGTGTGGTGTGTGAGTGGTGTGTGTGTGGTGTGTGAGTGGTGTGTGTGAGTGGTGTATGTGAGTGGTGTGTGTGTGGTGTACATGTAGAAATGTGCATGTGTTGGGGAGTGTAGCGGTTAACGCGCGCTGCGCTATGAATCCAGCAACCCGAGTTCGATTCCCGCTCACGACCAACACCTGCGCAGTTATAGGAACCAGTCCTGGGCCACCCGCCCCCCCTCCCCTCTCTAGGTAAACTCAACCTCAAATGAGTACCTTGCGTTCAGTGTAAACATCGCCACTACGGAGACATAAACGGCCGTGCGTGATGCTGTCCACCGACCCCCTCGCGTGCCGTGCACGCCGTAGTCGCTGCTGCTGCTGCTCGATCCTGGCCCCAACGGATGAACCTTTTGTGTTTGTGTGCGCCGGGAGCAGGCAGGGCAGCAAGTCGAGCAAGGACGAGATCACGCACTCCGCCTTCCTGTCCGTGCAGCTCGACAACGAGCTGGGGGGACGGCCCATGCAGGTGAGCAAACACGTGCCTGCAGAGAGCAGTGCACCACCTCCCCTGCGTCAGTGCCCCGAGGCTCACAGGGCCCAGTCTCGGGCATCTGTGGGAATCTGGTTGAGAGTGCGCATCAGATGCCCACAGCCTGGAGCCAGTGGCGGATATTCCACGTTCTGCCCCCCCCCCCGTCCCAGGTGCGCGTGGTTCAGGGCTCCGAGCCCCCCCACCTGCTGAGCCTGTTCGGGGGCAAGCCCCTGGTGGTGCACGCGGGGGGCACCTCCCGCCATGGGGGGCAGAGCCCCCAGGCCCCCACGCGCCTCTACCAAGTGCGCAGCTCCTCAGCGGGCGCCACCAGAGCCGTCGAGGTGAGGTCGTCGTCGTCACCCTCGTCGTCATCATCCTCGTCATCTTCATCAACATCGTCGTCATCGTCATCCCCGTCGTCATCCTCATCATCGTCATCATCGTCGTCATTATCACCCTCGCAATCATCGTCATCATCATCGTCGTCATTATCACCCTCGCAATCATCATCGTCATCATCATCGTCATCGTCATTATCACCCTCGCAATCATCATCGTCGTCATCATCATCGTCGTCATTATCACCCTCGCAATCATCGTCGTCATCATCATTGTCGTCATTATCACCCTCGCAATCATCATCATCATCGTCATCATTATCACCCTCGCAATCATCGTCGTCATCATCATCGTCGTCTTCATCCTCGTCAGCTTTGCTGCCTGCTGTACGGCTTCGGGAGTGGCACCACGTGCGTGCGAGCCGTTCGGCACGATGTCCGACGGTTCACTTGACGCGACCTTCCCCCGGCCTCCCTGCGGAACTCCCCCCCCCCCCCCCTCCCCCACGCGAAGGTCCCCCTGAGCGCCGCGTCCCTCAACTCGAACGACGCCTTCGTGCTGCTGTCGCCCAAGAAGACGTTCATCTGGGAGGGGAAGGGCGCTGAGCGCAGCGAGCTGGACGGGGCGACCTACGTGGCCCAGCTGCTGGGCCGCCGGACGCACGCCGACCTGGCCGAGGGGGATGAGCCAGGTGGGGGGCGAGGGGTAACTTGGGGGGGCACCCTCACCCAAACGCCCCACCCCCCTTCTCCTCCCCGCCGAGTCCCACGGTCACGGGAATTCCTCTCCGGGGTCTTCCGCTCCTGTCGCTCGCCATTGGCCCCAGGGCTGGGCAGAAACAAAAAAACCCCGGCCCCAATGCTCATTTGAAGCAGGAAGCCACCGAGACTTTTTTAACTTTCTAGAGCCATCACCGATCTCCCGCCCGTCCCTCTCACCCCCCCCCCCCCCCCCCCCCATAGATGAGTTCTGGTCGCTGCTGGGCGGCAGGAAGGACTACCAGAGCTCGCCGAGACTCAGCACCAACTACAACGACCACCCGCCCCGTCTCTTCGCCTGCTCCAACAAGACCGGCCGCTTCCAGGCACGCCCCCCCCCACCCCCTCGAAGAGCTCTCAAGAGGATCATCTCGCTTCTACTCCGCTCCACTCATCCTAGATCCACCGCTCTCTCTCTCCCATCGCTCGCTACTCCGCTCCACTCATCCTAGATCCACCGCTCTCTCTCTCTCCCATCGCTCGCTACTCCGCTCCACTCAACCTAGATCCACCGCTCTCTCTCTCTCTCTCCCATCGCTTCTACTCCGCTCCACTCATCCTAGATCCACCGCTCTCTCTCTCCCATCGCTCGCTACTCCCCTCCACTCATCCTAGATCCACCGCTCTCTCTCTCCCATTGCTCGCTACTCCGCTCCACTCATCCTAGATCCACCGCTCTCTCTCTCCCATCGCTTATACTCCCCTCCACTCATCCTAGATCCACTGCTCTCTCTCTCTCCCATCGCTCGCTACTCCCCTCCACTCATCCTAGATCCACCGCTCTCTCTCTCCCATCGCTTATACTCCCCTCCACTCATCCTAGATCCACCGCTCTCTCTCTCCCATCACTCGCTACTCCCCTCCACTCATCCTAGATCCACCGCTCTCTCTCTCTCTCTCCCATCGCTTCTACTCCGCTCCACTCATCCTAGATCCACCGCTCTCTCTCTCCCATCGCTCGCTACTCCCCTCCACTCATCCTAGATCCACCGCTCTCTCTCTCCCATTGCTCGCTACTCCGCTCCACTCATCCTAGATCCACCGCTCTCTCTCTCCCATCGCTTATACTCCCCTCCACTCATCCTAGATCCACTGCTCTCTCTCTCTCCCATCGCTCGCTACTCCCCTCCACTCATCCTAGATCCACCGCTCTCTCTCTCCCATCGCTTATACTCCCCTCCACTCATCCTAGATCCACCGCTCTCTCTCTCCCATCACTCGCTACTCCCCTCCACTCATCCTAGATCCACCGCTCTCTCTCTCTCCCATCGCTCGCTACTCCCCTCCACTCATCCTAGATCCACCGCTCTCTCTCTCCCATCGCTTATACTCCCCTCCACTCATCCTAGATCCACCGCTCTCTCTCTCCCATCGCTCGCTACTCCCCTCCACTCATCCTAGATCCACCGCTTTCTCTCTCTCTCCCATCGCTCGCTACTCCGCTCCACTCATCCTAGATCCACCGCTCTCTCTCTCTCTACCATCGCTTATACTCCCATCCACTCATCCTAGATCCACCGCTTTCTCTCTCTCTCCCATCGCTCGCTACTCCGCTCCACTCATCCTAGATCCACCGCTCTCTCTCTCTCTCCCATCGCTCGCTACTCCCCTCCACTCATCCTAGATCCACCGCTCTCTCTCTCCCATCGCTTATACTCCGCTCCACTCATCCTAGATCCACCGCTCTCTCTCTCTCTACCATCGCTTCTACTCCGCCCCACGCACTCTCTGCTTCAAGCGACCGAGGTTCTCCGGAATATCGCCCCCCCCTCCCCCCCTTGCGTTGACCTTCGCCGCTCGATTGGCGGGTCGCTCCTTCTCTGCTGCTGCCCTCACAGTCTGGGGCCCTGTCTTGCTGACCACCTCCTGCCTCCTTACCCCCACCACCCCCCAGTGCCTCACCCCCCGGTGCAGTGGCAATTCTCACCCCCCCCCCCCCCACCTCGTGTGCCCTTGCGGACCCTGATGGGCGATGCTCGCCGACGGCACGTGCCCCGGCCCTGTGCGGAGCTGAGCGTTGTGTCGGTCGCGCCCGCAGGTGGAGGAGGTGGCGGGAGACTTCACTCAGGATGACCTAGCCACCGATGATGTCATGCTCTTAGACGTATGGGACCAGGTAACATCATCTTTTTTATTATTATTACTACATATTAATACCTTCATCATCAACTCCACCACCATCATCATCACTCTAGAATCCCACCACCGTCGTCACCATCATCGTGGTGCTCCTGTTTGGGTTCCCATGCTCCCCTTCCATCCCCCCCTCTCTTCCCCCAACTTTCATCTCCTCAATCCCCCCCCCCTCCACGTCCCCCCCCCCCACGTCCCCCCATCCCCGCAGCTTTTCCTCTGGATCGGCGAGGACGCCAACGACGTGGAAAAGAAAGAATCGCTCAAGTGTGGTGAGTGTCCCGGTGTCACGAGCCACAAGGCCCGGCACTGCGTTGGGTCGGCCGCTCCGATGTCCCCCCCCCCCTCTCCACTCGCCCCTTTCGCTGCACCTGCCGTCACGTCCGCAGTCCCCGCAGCTCGTCCTGCCGCGTCCTCCCATCCCCGCTCTCCCCTCCGAGCCGCGAGCCGTGAGCGGCGAACCGTGAACCCGCTCCCCTCCAAAGCTACGGCGGCGATTTGGGAATCGCCGGCACCGCCCCCGGCTAGGTAGCGATCGTACCTCGCCAACAGGATGCCACGCGCGGCTCCGTTCGCTGATCGGACCCAGCACGCCATCAAGGTCATTGGCGTACTTCCATGTAGGGGTTCGCTGCTGTTCACGAGACCGCTGCTGTTCGCGGGTCAGCTGCTGTTCACGAGTCCGTTGCTGTTCACGAGTCCGTTGCTGTTCATGCAACGCTTGGGCAGTTGTTGGCGCAGGCTATCGCTTGGCTGCCATCCTTGCTTGGCTGTGGTTCCTCAGGGCTCTGAGTCATTCTCCCTCTTCAAGAGTGAGTGAATATCGTGCACATCATATGTTAATCATCGTTATTATGGGGACGGCGAGCTAAAATGTATTTGTCAATGAATATATGAACACACACAGTCTCACTAATCATATCCTATGGTGTGTATAGCAGTCAAATAGAGAAAAAAAAATCTTGTCCGACAAAGGAACGGAAAAACAGCGTAAGTGTTTTGAGCAGCAGACAGAAGAGAAATGGTGACGTATATCACTCGGACTCGTTGTGTCATTGAATTCCTGCTCGGGCTTCCCAGGGCTCTCACCGCATCTGCCCCACTGTGCCGTTGACCATTTACCTTTAAATGACGTTCATCTTGCCGGCACTTGCGTTTTGCTGAAATCATTACCCCCCTTCTCTCCCGGGGGAGGTTTGTGCAAAAAAAAAAACTTTTCAAACCTTGCGGCTCGCCGCAGGGACGATCCCCACGCCTTCGCAGGAGACACCGCGTGCCCCGTGTGCCCCACGGGACGGGGGACGCCGTGCCGGGAGCTGTCAATGCCCTAGGGAGCTTGGCCCACGCACATCAGCCAGCGGATGTCTTCAAGCCGGCTCGAAATCAATCCAGATCGAACCCACGACCTCCTGTATGCCAGGCTAGGTAGTTAACATCTCCTAGCCACCCGTGGCGCCGTATTCAAACGTGACCTAAAATTCGCCCGTCACCTCTCGGTTACGCAGCGCGTCTCGAGACGTTCCGACACGACAGCGCAATCTTTAAACGTCTTTGCCTCGCGTAGAGACCCACGTGTTCACGCAGACACCCACAGACTCACGCAGACACCCACGTGTTCACGCAGACACCCACAGACTCACGCAGACACCCACAGACTCACGCAGACACCCACAGACTCACGGTGACACCCACAGACTCACGCAGACACCCGCAGACTCACGCAGACACCCGCAGACTCACGCAGACACCCACAGACTCACGCAGACACCCACAGACTCACGGTGACACCCACGTGTTCACGCAGACACCCACAGACTCACGGTGACACCCACGTGTTCACGCAGACACCCACAGACTCACGCAGACACCCACAGACTCACGCAGATACCCACAAACTCACAGTGACACCCACAGACTCACGGTGACACCCACAGACTCACGGTGACACCCACAGACTCACAGTGACACCCACAGACTCACGGTGACACCCATAGACTCACGGTGACACCCACAGACTCACGGTGACATCCACAGACTCACGGTGACACCCACAGACTCACATAGACACCCACAGACTCGCCGTGTCCCCCCCCCACTCCACGTGTCGTCTCATAGCCACGTCGTACCTGGAGACGGACCCATCGGGGCGGGGGAAGGGCACCCCCGTGGTGGTGGTGAAGCAGGGACACGAGCCCCCCACCTTCACCGGCTGGTTCCTCGCCTGGGACCCCACCAAGTGGGACTCGGACCCCTTCGAGGCGATCAAGGCGTCGTTAAAGTAGGGCGGGGATCTGAGGCGAGGCGCGTCCCTGACGCCCAGACGCCCGGCTATCTCGTCCCGAGAGAGACGCCCTCCCTGGCTGTGTACCCTGGGGCGGTCCCGACAGCTGAGCCCGGAAGCTTTCGTTCGTGAGAAAATAAACACTTTACAGTCGCGGTCAAACTATAAACTGTGCTACTGCGTTCGGCAGTGGTGACCTCAGCACAAATGACGTCCATCAATAACCCTGCCCTAATGGGGTAAACGTTTATATAACAGGTCACGTTTGGGGCTATGGGCCTTAAGCATCGCAGCAAGATCTGAATGAAATCTAAGACTTCCTTGCCATTAAAAGGGGCCAGTGCTTGAAACGTTGCATGTTTTTTTTTTAGGGCATAGTCATCGAGGAATGTGAGATTTTGTTAAATGCATAATTGTGCTGTAATTAGCATTGCTACCGTTGTTACTGTAAATTTTACATTTTACAGCAATACGATGTTAAGAATGCCCCATACTCAGGAAGTCGGTGGCGCAATGGTCAGCACAATGCGGTGTGGACCCATTGTGGTGAAGTATGGTCAAACGACAAAATGACCGACAGCAGATTGTCAAAGGGCTGTACGTGCATTGTTGTTTATTCAGAAAAGTGTCGCTGAGTCTCAAGACCCTTTTTCAGCAGTCCTGCTGATATTGGGATATTTGACCAAATCTATGAATTCGTGTTTTGTATTACTCCGAGAGTCAATGTTTAATGCACTGTGGAGGATTAAATATAACAAATATAACTGTGACTTTGTTTTTCTTGCTGACGCAACTTCAAGGTCGTGTCAGACAGCCGCGGGCACCGTCGCCGAGCTAAGGAGCTAGGAGACAATCTAGCCTGTTGGTTACTTGGTCAGTGTCTTATTTCCAGTCTGACCCTGTTCGTTAAGTTGGCATCATCAAATAGAACAATACGAAGCACTTGCAGCGTTACAGAACACTGTACTAAACATAAAGTCATATATTCGTCCATTAGCTTATCAGCCTTCTGGACCAATGCTTTCCAAGGGTTCCCCGTATAGCCTTAACAGGCTGTCGGGGCGAGTACTGTGAGCGAGTAGCAGCACCTAACGGGGCGAGTACTGTGAGCGAGTAGCAGCACCTAACGGGGCGAGTACTGTGAGCGAGTAGCAGCACCTAACGGGGCGAGTACTGTGAGCGAGTAGCAGCACCTAACGGGGCGAGTACTGTGAGCGAGTAGCAGCACCTAACGGGGCGAGTACTGTGAGCGAGTAGCAGCACCTAACGGGGCGAGTACTGTGAGCGAGTAGCAGCACCTAACGGGGCGAGTACTGTGAGCGAGTAGCAGCACCTAACGGGGCGGGTACTGTGAGCGAGTAGCAGCACCTAACGGGGCGAGTACTGTGAGCGAGTAGCAGCACCTAACGGGGCGGGTACTGTGAGCGAGTAGCAGCACCTAACGGGGCGAGTACTGTCAGCGAGTAGCAGCACCTAACGGGGCGAGTGCTGTGAGCGAGTAGCAGCACCTAACGGAGGCCGGCACGGCACACGTGGCGGTGGTATGGCCAGCGCACCCCGCACAGCCGCCTTTGTCTACTGATGTTAACACACCGCACCAGCTGCTCTCATTTAAGACCGAGTCAACCTGGGAGAGGCCCCAAAACTGCACAAATAATCGCCACCGATCTTAGCCACGATTGGGAATCGAACTGGGGAGGCGGGGGGGTCGTAGCGAGGACGACGGAGGAAGACTCAGGGATGGCTGTAAGGGAAGGATGTTGACGGTTCTGCACTGACGGGTCCGAACAAAGCAGGACCTGGTCTACAGTTGTCCATATCCCGGTGCCGCTTGTCCGTTGTTGCATCCCGCACCTCTGGTAAGCACGGTGGGCTACGTGCGGTGCGAAAGAAGTTCAACGTACATAGATTTGCTTAAATCTATTGTGATGGTGGCTGTTGACAAGACCATGCCGTTTCTGAAACTTATTGTGTGGCGGATAGAGATGCTTGGACGACAGGAGGAGGTAGAGATGGCATAGGGACACGGAGGCTATTGCACAGTTCAAATTGGATATCAGTTCAATCAAAACGTTGCAACAAAAAATAGGAGGCATTATATTCGGAGTGTACCTCGTACATACGGACAGGGTGACATGTACACGCCAGTCCACGTCATTTGAACCATATATGTGTCTTGTGGGGCGGGTGGTGCAGTAGTTATCGCGTTCTGTTGTGAACCCACCGACGTAGATTTAATACCTGTCCACAGCCGTCAGTGTGGTGTGTGATATCTTGAAGCTGTCCTGGGTGCAGGCCCCCTTCACCAACTCGCACTGGCCAGCCAAGTGAAGGTCAAACAAACCCATTGAAGGTCAAACAAACCCAGCCGAGTGAAGGTCAAACAAACCCATTGAAGGTCAAACAAACCCAGCCGAGTGAAGGTCAAACAAACCCATTGAAGGTCAAACAAACCCAGCCGAGTGAAGGTCAAACAAACCCATTGAAGGTCAAACAAACCCAGCCGAGTGAAGGTCAAACAAACCCATTGAAGGTCAAACAAACCCAGCCGAGTGAAGGTCAAACAAACCCATTGAAGGTCAAACAAACCCAGCCGAGTGAAGGTCAAACAAACCCATTGAAGGTCAAACAAACCCAGCCGAGTGAAGGTCAAACAAACCCATTGAAGGTCAAACAAACCCAGCCGAGTGAAGGTCAAACAAACCCATTGAAGGTCAAACAAACCCAGCCGAGTGAAGGTCAAACAAACCCATTGAAGGTCAAACAAACCCAGCCGAGTGAAGGTCAAACAAACCCATTGAAGGTCAAACAAACCCAGCCGAGTGAAGGTCAAACAAACCCATTGACCGACAAGCCTTTGGGGAGGCCATCACTCAGCAGTGCATTCATTCACATTGCCTGTGGTCATAAAAAGTGCAAATTGCAGGAGATAAGTCGATTTATTGTTCTGCCAATGGCGCAGTCGTCTGCAAAGTTATGACTTGCAGGCTGTCTATTTGGGGCGCTGCAGTGGCGAGATGGTCACTCGTTCGATCCTGACCCTGACGCCTGTATATTTTTAATTTGCATGTTTTCCCTGTGGTCGCATCGGTTTTTCTCCTGGTCTTCCAGTTTTCCCCTCCACATTTTAGAGTATTTGGCTGCTACACACTGTCACGTGATAAGCCACTTGATTAAGCTATCATTTGTGGCTAGGTTACGTCTTAAAAAGTGGGCCTTACCTACAAAAGAAAAAAGATATAGTTTAGTTGCATAGTTTAGTGTTTAGTCTAAGGAATGCTCTTTACAGCTTGCAGTGTATGTGGGGACTGCCTGCATAAAAGGAATACAATAATACTCTGTTTAATTTGTGTGTAAAAGATAATTATCTTGCATACATCTTTTAGTCACTCGCAAGGAAGCCTACACAATAAAATCACAGGCTCAGCCATTGCATATTTTGAGGTCATTGTACTCCTGGCATTGATAGAGGTCACAATGGTAGTTGGGTCCTAAATGATACATTAAGTATAGATCGAAAAGCAGAATGATGAAGTGGCTTTAGTCTATCACAGAGGTTGTTGGGTTAGATCGCGTAAATATAAAATGTGTCGTTAAACCCGCCACCACCCGACACAGCCAATTAGTAATGTTTGTCACGTAAACAAAACACGCCAATTCGTTCCTAAATATTGTGGGTTTACTCTCCAACACCCTGATGTGCTGTACTCGTAACGAATTGGCACGTTTTGTTTACGTGACAAGCCTTACTAATTGGTTGTGTCGGGTGGTGGCGGAGATAACGACACATTTGTATTTACGTGATCTAACCCAAAAAACCTCTGTTATGGATAACATTGGTCGCTAAAGCCGGCTACGCGTTAAACTGGATTTAGTCTCTTTAGTATTTCATTGGTAGCTGATCTGTAAGCAGCGTCACAGTCGTCAAAAAGTGGTGGAATGACAGCTTCAACAATTTTCAGACGCAATCAAATTGGAAAACGGGTTGTTTGTATAAAATATCTTTATTTTTTAATTTGATTTTCTCTTGAGATGCGATCAATGTGGGGCTTGGAACATAAAGTTTAGACTCAATCAGTAAACGCCAGCGCTGGATTTGGAGCTTTCCCTTTGTTCAATGACGCTGTTGGCAAGAGCACTCCGTCGTGTCGTCACTCGCAGCTACTGTCGAAACTCAACGCGATACAGGTTCCCCTTCTTCCCCTTCTGTTTGAGCCGTTATCAGCGACTGACTGCACCGCCCACTTATCTACGCCCTCCGTGCCATTGATAGCCTGGCACCAACTCTCCCCGACTTTCTCGCATGTCCAGCTTCACGCCTCGACTTTACCCCCCAAGGACACAACAGCAGAGTAGACCATCCCTCCCCCACCCTCTCATCACCCTCACCACTGCTCCACCCAGCCGGGCTTTGCGAGGTCAAGGTAAGTGAGGCAGCAAAGTTTAAGACGTCAATTGGCCCCAGTGAAAGCGGTCGCGTAAGATCGTGCAAGAGAGCGACAAGCTGCAATAAGGAAACAAAATGTTATCACGGCGATTCGTGACCGCTCACACGCAGCCAACCGCCTGCTGGGTCCCAGGTGGCGGCCCTTGTGATGTCGCCAGCGGGATCAAAGGCCACAGTCGCTGAGCCAGCATCGTTGAGAACCTGGGTTCGAATCCAGGTCTCAGCCCACTGCCCTCCACCCTCCCACCTCCCCGATTAAACCGGGCGAGGTGAGGGTCTCAGCCAGCTCGGGTTAATACTATAGGGGACAGGACGGATAGTGTTGTTAGGGTCAGGGGCTGGCTGGCTTGTATGGTTAGGGCTACTGCTAGCGTTCGTGTCAGAGTCTGGTTGTCTAAGTGTCTTCTCACCTCCTGTTATCCCACCAACACAAAGCTCAATACTCTACGGCCTACAGTCGCTTTGGCCATCGCCGATTCGCAAATGAATCATTACTACCCGGCCGATGTGGTGCACCAGCAATGCCATCAAACCCCCCGGGTGTTTAGGCACCAACCCCTCGGCACTCGGGAACCCCCCCCCCCCCACCATGTGTCACCGCGGCACGAGTGGCGGCCGCGCCTGGGGGTCCAACCGCCGCCTTTGTACCTCAAGCGGCCCCTGTTCCAGTCCGCTAACGGGTGTCATCTTTCACAAGGACGCGAAGCGACTTCACCACAAGCCAACGATGTGGCGAACGACGAATGCAGCGACGAAAGAAAGAGGAGAGAGAGAAGAAGAGGAGGCGGAGGAGGAGGAGGAGGCGTAGTACAAAAAAACAGCAGTCCAATTTTTTTAAACGATAATTTTACGGGGAAAATAAATACACCGCGGACCACAGCGTCAACAGTCTCTGATATTAATACCATATTTAATCACCGACTTCCCATGCAAAATATTGACCGTTGTAGCTTTCTACGATTAACAGTAGACACTGACTAGATATGGGCTTTGTAATTACCGCTATCCTAGGGTGGCTACACATCATAATTGACAATTCTCGGGAAGGAGCGGAGTCTAGCGAGCTACCTGCCTTGTCAGGGCCCAAGGACACTCCGAGTTAAACCACGCAGTCAATTCCCACAATTCCGTCGATAAGGGAGACGATTATGCACACCCTTCATCGTAAACATAACCCACCCGATTACACTTTGACGATACATTCATGACAGTAGTTCATAGGTAATGAATGCAATGTCTTCAGGTGTGGGGTCATCAGTCCACTAATGGTAGGTGTATCGTTATCTGCGATGTTATCTTTCAAGGCCGACACGTGGT